AACTAAACTGCCAAACATTTTTAACTATTCACAATAATAAAAAATTAGATTAAAAAATAAAAATCCGCTAATAAAACTGTCACTGAATCGGGTTTCGATACAAGTACTTTCTTCCGATACCTACTCAGTACTTGGTTCAAAAGTATCGATACCAAAATTACTTGGTATCGGACGAAAAGCATCGAGTATGTACTTGTATTTACTAGTATCGTTTTGTCCCTAGCCATTCTCATTGGAAACATAATAAAGTACTATGAAATAGGATCGCAAAGTGATGAGTTCATTCATAATACTGCAATATATATTGATGACCACTTGGGTAGCCTTACTGTATCTGCTATATACTGCTCCCTCGTCATAACACAACAGAAAAACAAAAAGTTTTTGGCAGTAAGTTTATTGTAGCAGGAGATTACAATGCCAAACATACATACATACTGGGGTCTACATTTATTACACCAAAGTGTAGAAATCTGTATAAAGTAATGCAGAAGAGAGGATTTGACGTCTTGTCTACTGGTCAGCCAACGTATTGGCCATCTGATCCCCAAAAAATATGTCAGTTCGCACGTCGACCCCCAAATTCTTATTCGGACCAAGAATGATATCGATAGGGCAGCTGAAAGTCTCACTTATATAATAGATAAGGCCGCAGAATTGCAACACCAAATCCCTCTATTAAACGTCGCAATTCTTACCGCCTGGGCCTGCACACCCCTAACATTCTTAACTTAATAAGTAAAAAGCGCAAATTAAGAATGGAATGGCAAAGAATTCGCTCTCCTAAGCTTAAAAAGGAGCTGAATGCGTGTACAAAGGAATTACGTATTTTGTTGCAGGCGGAAAAAGAAAGAAGTACGCAGTCGATCCTTCAGTCCTTGTCTGCTTCGTAACAGACTGACTACTCGCTTTGGCGATCATTGAAGCATGCGAAGAGGCCCGTTCTTCGAGAACCACCATTACGTACTCAGAACGGAAGCTGGGGGTGGAATGATGAGGATAAAGCAAACGCTTTCGCCTGTCATCTTTTACAAGTCTTTAGACCCAATGAATGCGCTCATCCTTCCAATATTTCAATATCCCCCAGTAGCCGTACCACAAATCCGATTTGGTTTAAAAATAAAGATTTAATTAACACCATTGTTCACGACGTTCAGAAGAATAAAGCGCCTGGTTACGATAGGATTACAGGTGAAATGATAAAGGAACTTCCACTAAGTGCCGTGCGTTTTTTGTTTCATATTTTTATTAACATGCTGAAGTTGCGGCAATTCCCCAACTTATGGAAACTTTCGGAAATAATTATAGTGCCAAAGCCAGGCAAAGATCCGACGGTAGTAAATTCATATCGGCCCATTAGCTTGATTTCTGTATTTTCCAAAATATTTGAAAAACTTCTATTGAAAAAAATACAACCTTGACTTTGTTAAAACAAATAAAATAATACCACCACATCAGTTTGGTTTTCGTGAAAAACATGGCACTGTAGAACAAGTTCATAGAATTGTGTCCTGTATTAGAAAAGCCTTCGAAGGGAAGCATTACTGCACCAGTGTATTTTTGGACATCTCTCAAGCTTTTGACAAAGTCTAGCATGATGGCTTTGTATACAAACTAAAGGTTGCACTCCCTGCAAATACAGAGAAAATTCAGAGTCAGGCAGAATTCCTTTAGAACGGAAAGTCACCGTATATATGCAGGTGCCCCTCAAGGCAGTGTGGTTGTTCACGCTTGCCTGGTTATCAGCTTATCTGGTTAAAAATATTTTTTTTGCAGTGCACTTTGTTGTCGTACAACAATAAAATATACTACAGAAAAATTATTTTTAACCAGATAACCTGATAACCAGGCAAGTGTGAGCAACCACAGTGTTTTAGGACCCATATTGTACGTAATATACACGTGATTTGCCAACTGATGAAACTCTAACCCAGGGTAGCCAATTCATTTTTGAGAATTCCCCGATTTCGACAATGAAATTTTCCGATTTTTCCCGAAATTTCGTGAAATTCCCTCTCATATATGTATTTGTATGAAGTAAGTTACATGAACAAGCTGACGGTAACGGTGCCGCACAAATTAGCTCAACTCTCAATTTTGCTTATTCGATTGCGTCAAATGACAACTATTCATTGTTCTGTTTACATGTTTGAACGTAAATTTTTCCAGTTTGTGAAAAGTTTAATATTTATGGAAACACGAAATGTAAAAAATAATGTAGGAAAACCTAATAGAGAAATGAAAAAGTAAAATGCAAATTTTGCAAAGAGTATCAGCGAGTCAATGATTTTTCGGGCGCAATGTTAAACGAATAGTGTAGTGTGTAACTTGACGCATAAGCAACGTTGACGGTGATGTTGACTGTGGCGGTGACGCTGTCAATGGATGGTATGTACTTTCACATTTCATTTCAAACTTCGCACAAAAATTATGAAAATTCAACAAACTTTAACATTTGTACCCAAAAATTTTAAACTTTTTATTTAGAAATTTTAAAAAATTTTGGGTATGCAGTTTTGTCTCTGATTAAATTTTATGCCAGTTCGTATTTAAGGTTTTTATTATTATTTGTTAAGATTTTTTTTTTAACCACACTAACTTAACTTTACCTTAGTGAAATTATATAAAATAATACCAACTCCCCCAAAAAATTCATGGATATGAAATAATTATTCAAGTTGTTTCTCTTTCTCTTGTTTAAATAAAGCTTTTATTCTACAAACTAAATTATATGTTCGGATTCGATGCTTTGAAAATGTCCCAATTTTTGTCCACAGCAATCTGGTCACCCTACCTATCCTACAAAGCGTTTTTTGATCACTTTTTCCATTTGTTATATGCATAACCAGAAGATAATTTAGGTAGGATATCTTAAGTTAAGCCATTCTAAAAGACTTACGCAATAAGGGCTGAAAAAAGAGCTTCCCTGTTTCCGTATTTACAATTTACGCGAATGTACATATACATATATATACATATGAACCTTAAATAAATAAATTCCTTAAAGGCGGATGATATTTATGAGTTAAAAGAACACCTCCAAAAGGCCTTCTGAAGTACGTCCTACAAAAGCCCTTCTGAAAACTCTTCCTTGGGTAACGAAAGCACGAGCCGCTTAATTTATACCACTCCATATAAAAAAGAAGGGAGAAAAGAATGCCTTTCAGAAAGGCTTTTTGTATAACCCGTCAGCCGTGTACCTATTCAGAAGCTTGCTCTTTTTTGGTATTTGCCTGAAAATAAAAAAACATTTCCACTTACTTTTTTTTTAATTAGTATGAAATTTGCGAAGCGAAAAAAAAATTTTCACCTAATTCCTCACCAAAAACAGTTCATCCTCTGCTTCCCCATGGAAACTGAAATTCCCCACAAAAAACGGTCCATTCCCCGATTCCCCACGCAAACAGAAATTCCCCGCAAATCGGGGAATTCCCCACGAGTTGGCTTCCCTGGCGTGATATGAAATGCCATTACTGCTTCAAACGCTCGGGCTAGCTCGTTTGATCTAAGGGATCCAAGTTTAAACTGAAACCGAAAAAAATTACCCTTAAACTTAATTTTTCAAAAGATGGAGTTAACCAATTTGTGTAAGGAACGGCTCATTTGTCTGTTGTGTTGTGAATCGAAAAATTAAGAAAAATATCAGAAAAATGACGGAAAAAGTATAAGAAATGTATCCGAAACACGGTTGCCACATTTGGTCACTTGTGACCAAAATAGGTAGCTTTTCGAGTGCTAGGTAACTTTTCGAGTGCTTGGTAACTTGGCAACTTTCCTTTTATTTTGGTAACTTTTGGTAAGTTTGCCGTGTATAAAGTCAGACCAAAAAGTTGGATTAATTTGATAAATTGTACTGTGGTTGTGTGTAGCGGTGACAACACTACTATAAACAATTGCATTGATCAGGCAACGCAGCGCTCAGCCAAAAAAAAACTAACCACATATCGAAACAAATTATCGCTGGGCAGTCTACTCGTTAATTAATTAAAGTGTTGATATTGATAGATTTCACATGGTGATGGATCGCGCGGGAATGCTACATGGTCAATATTATTTATCGCGTCAGTATTTACATGTTTTTGTGTTCAGAAGTTTAAAGTCCAATAGATGAAGCCTGGAAATCTTATCTTAATGTTATTTTATTGAAAATCATCTATACTTTATATTATATGTATGGTGATATCACATCTAATTTGTTCGAAATGCAACGCGAAATGCCGAGCCGTGAAATGATATCACGAAATATGCCACACGTTCAATATTTATTGACAGATCTTTGATCCATATGTAGAGGAAATGAAAAAGAAGATTTGAACAGCAGTTTGTGCGGTGTATTTGGGCTTCGGTATATGCACTTAAGTAGATTTTTTTGTAAATATATTTTTTTTTGTTCTGAGGCTAAGATCCCGTTCAAAAGTCAAAAGATTAAGGCGCGTTTTTATGAAAAGTATACACATTTTTAAACGCATGCGTTGCAAAAATATTTGTGTGCTGTTTTTTGTTTCACAAATTTTTGTTACGTGCGTATACAGAGATTGAATAAAAATGTATTTATATACGTATGTAAATGTATCTGTTATATGAGGCCTTGAGCGCCAGAGTAGCTTAACTGACATTCCAAAAAAAGTTGAGATGCACCTTAAAATGCATTACCAGAATCGAAACGGTAATAGCTCGGGGCACGCCCTTTTAGTTTTCTTTTACTATAATATGTAGAATCACGTAGGTGCAATGAATCTTTTAGTAAAATACTGCATTTATTTTTTATAGATCCCTTCTTTCTCATATTATTAAAAATGTTTTTGTAGAAAGGCTCCTCTACCCTCATATGTAAAATTAATTTGTTTAGTTTTCTTTTAATAAAACTATTTATTGTATCCTTGTCTTATTTATGGCAAATAAACGAGGTTTGTTTTTACAGTTTATTGTATAATACAAAATTGTTTTTTACTTGGTAACTTTTAGGTAACTTTTTTTGTAAATTCTGGTCAGAAAATTTTTTGTTGTGTGGCAACCGTGATCCGAAAATGTAATTACCGTAATGTAAAGTATCAGCTGAAAATGTATCCTTTTACACTTTTTTTTCTGTGTTTTACATCCTAAATCACTGATCAATATACCATTGCTTCTCGTTGCAGGTCGGAATGGTGGCAAAGCTCAAAAAGAAATGGCAAATGCGGCTGCAATAACAGCTAAAGCGGATGTTGATAGGGACGTTGGAGGAAATATAAGCGCTACCACATCGGCTGTAGCATCACCGACGGATGCCAGTACAACGTCGACAAATGCATCCACACCGATATCGACATCAAATCCGAACGCTAGTGCCAGTCAAAATGCTCTTAATGATCCCAATCACTGGAGCAAGCAAGAAAAATTTGATGCGGATACGTTTTTGGAATGTGCTTACAAAAAGCATTTGAGCAGACACGCGAATAAGTGAGTCGTGTGGAATCGAAAGCTTTTATGTCCAATATATATGGAATTTATTCACTAATGCTTTTCTGTCTTACTCTTTCTTTTCTCTCCTTTTGTAAATGTCATTACTGCGAACTTATCTGCATTTAATTATTTTTCGGTCTTGTAATTTCGTTGTTTTTTGTTAATTGATTATATATCTTATTTCACTGCATTGACTGTGTTTCAGAGTACTTCTGCGCGTACGTATGCTGTATTACATTCAACA